CAAGTCTGATTCAGGGTCTTTCTGAGGAGTTTGAGCCCTAGCTACACATACATGTATATTTTGATTGTTGCTATTACATGTACATGTACATTTACATGTATGTTTATAATCGCAAGTGTATTTTCATTTTAAAATCTCGCTACAGAAGTAATATTTGAAGCTCCCATTTTCAAGATAGTATTATGACATGGAACTTCTAACAAACAGAAAAAAGAAAATCAAACTTAAATAAATAAAACAAATCAAATCAAATCAAAGTTGTTGTTTGGTAATGGGTGCACTTTAAGTCACTCTTACTTACATGTACACCATCATGCAGGCGACCTGGAAAATGTATACGAGTGCAATGCAATAAGTCAAATGTACATCTAATGTACATGTAAAGCAAACTCTCAAGAGTAAACATTACCAGTGAAAGAGCCTGAGGCATACACTTACATGTACATGAAACCTTCATGTAATCAGGATTTACTGAGTTACAGGGACACATTTCACATTAAATGTGAATATATTGGAATGCATGAACATTGAGGCAAACTATCGAGGACGACCGTTTCCCAGTGACACGACTTTGGGAATGGCTTCCATAATGTACTTGTAGATCCATTTACAATATTTGTAGATTCATTCACACATACTGTACATTTTTTAATCTATTTTAATACATTACAAGGCAAGCTATGAAGTGCTTGGCAATTACTACATATATTTCTAATGATATAAAGTTGGACATTCACTTCTCCATTAAAGGGACCCAGTTACATTATTAACCCATTCACACTATAGTTTTAACTTTCAAATGTAGTTAAATCCAATCATAATCAATATTGTGATAATAAGTAGAGATGATAAAAATTGAAGCACCTATTAAACCTAGTAACAACTACATGTCTATCCAAGATTAAACCCCTTTGCCAGTGGAAAGAAAAAGTTGATCCAACTTTATAGCTCAGCATTAGAACTTTGGTGTGAAGTGGGTGCTATGCGATGAAGTGGGATTTAACTCGGATTATGATTTCATTACTGTACCAAGTGGATTGCATTGCAAAAAAGAAGAAGCTATATTCTGAATTGACACTTAAAATATATGCCCATCATTACACTGACTAAGCTGTGAATTAAATCTTCGGTGTGAATTGGGTACTACAGTGTTGTATGTGATGAAGTGGCTTTTACCTCAGATTATGACTTATTGTATTTAATATAAGAAAAGAGCTTTTCTCTCAAATTCACACTACTATGAACATTACCCATTGTCAATCCACTGAATTACGTTTCAAGGAAAAAGCTATTCTTTAAACCTATCCCCCCCCCCCCCCAACAGGGACCTGGATTAAAACTCATGTGTAAAGGGGCTGCTACGTGCATGGCGATGAAGTGTGGCTTCTAGCGCAGATTATGACTTTCCTTTTGTACCAATTGGATTGTATTACAAAAGAAAATCTGTTCTCCTTTTGAATACAAGGATAATAGAATTAGGAGTGTGGAAGTCAAAGGTCGCTTTGGTACAATGCTTTTAAGTACGCGTTCACTGGCAACCAGAAAGTCTGGATGCTTTTATGTAGCGTTGCCTTCGTTTTTTTTCTCTCTGAAAACATTAGCGAGATTTCGGTCGCCTTGACTAAAGTGCTGAATTCATTAAAAGACTTGAATACATTTTTAACTACAGTGGTGTAGAAAAAAAAACAGCATGATTTTTTAAGCTTAATTTCATTTCTCATTTAACATTTCTTTTGACCATAAAGGGGTGCCGGAGTCTTGATTTTTCAAGGAGATGTGCATTTGTTGAATTCACAGCAACTTTATTTTTCATTCAATTCACATGAATATCATATTTCAGGCTGGTTTGCTATTTGTTTCCTTTTATGGTGTACTGATAACTTGCAGCTTAATACCTTTAGTCACACCGACAAGACCAACACCTGACCGACACCTGACCGACACCAGACCAACACCAGACTGAACATTACGTCTACGGCCAAGAATTGGTCAGTTTGGAGTCGTCTAAAGTCGGTTCGGCGGTGTGACTGAGGAACTACAAGGTGTTGCATACATGTACATCATGGGTGTACATTTACATACTGTACATGGACCGGTAGTTTAAAAATATATATTCATTTCATCTGTATGAGGAAGGATGAAATTACTCTGTATCATCTGTTTGGAGCCTGTGTCAAATGATATGAGATAAAATAAAATCCTTCTGGCTTCTAAACAAATGATATTTAATCCTTTCTGAAAGGCAGGTGCTTTTATATTTAATTAGTTTGAGAACATGTCAAGGTACATGTACATGTATGTATGTATGTATGTGGGTAATTTGCTATCAATTTAAAGAGACACCTGCCAACTGAATTAATCTTGGATTTTATAAGCAGTGGGGTAAAATAATCATTCAAGTAGTGCTTTTCAAACTAACTGAACCAATTTGGCTTTTGTGTAAAGAAATATTTAATTACAACTCTTGCTATTTACATTTTACAGCACTTGCATTATCTTGACACAATCGTTATGACTCGTCCAATATGTGTTTCTTGTGCACTTTTTAAAATATTATCCCTTTCCTTCACAATCCTAAATTATTTTGAATGCCATTTTGTTCAGGGAGGGGTGGGGGTGATTTTATACTTAAGCTGTACAGTAATGTTTTTCTTCTTCAGGTGATTCATCCCTTTAAATAGACCAGATTCCGGCATTAATTGATACACGCCCAATGCAAACATTACCACAAATTACATCAGAGACTTGATATGCATATACATGTACATCAATAATGATAAGAGCACATACATGTACCTGGTGTACATTTCGTCTGTTTGGAGCCAGAAGGGCGTTAATTCTATGTAACCTGATATGAGTTAACGCTCTTCTCTCTCCAAACAGACAATTTTTTTTTAAAGAGAAGGTTGAGTTCTGGGAAGAGGTGAAAAATAATTTGTGAGCGTCATCATTCTTATTATGCAAGTGTGGAAGAACATCAGATAAGACATGTTCCCTGAAAAGCATGGCTCTTCAAATGCCTTTATATTCTAAATATGTCATGTAACATCGTAAAACTCGGGGGTAGGATTTTTACGCCACGTGTTCGTGTAGTCCCATATACATCTTTCTGTGTACAGTGTTTGTAACTTTACCAAGACTTGGCCAAATTTCTTATCATTGATGATTCCAGAACCTTGCAATACACACAAAGTATATGCTAGATGATCAACCTTTTCTGGTCGATTCCACACCGTTTCTTTCACAATGCAATCGCATGACCAGAACTCAACTTCATCTTTAAGGTGATTTGTTTCCTTAAAACCAATTCAGATTTCAGCATGCACACAAGCACACATTACAAACATTACCAAGGATCACATCCCAGAGACTTGCATTCATGAATATTTAGAAGAGTACTTACATCAACCTACTCTGTAGTTTACAAGGCTTGTATTGGTTTCTATGCAGTGCAAGGTAATTAGTGGATAGATCTAATTAAATTCTTCATTGTAATATACCTGCCTGTCTTTGTCTGGGCCCAGTGTATCAGTGATAATTACACTTGTGAACAAGCTGTGTTCCCATTCTCACCAAATTGTGGAATATTTTTCTCTGCAAATATATTCTTGAACATTCTTCAATAGCTCACAGAAAGAAAAAAAACACTCCAGAAGTGGGGTTTTTGTCATGATTACATGCGGTTGCCTAGCAACTCCCAACAAAAAACACAGGAATGTGGGAAAATTTTATGATTTTGGCTTGGAATTTCTTTTCGCGAAGTTTTTTCATGAATATTTGTTTCCTGGAAGATTACCAGAAAAGTATCTTCAATTGATACAAGAATCAATATTCGTTCCGCTGAGAGTTGCTACAAAGTGTATTTCATTCATGACATACTTGGAGGGAAAAGGGTTGCACTTTACTCTTGGGTTAGGTTTAGGTTAAGAATTAGGGTCAAGTCTTGTGCTTGGTCCAGGGTTAAAGTTGGACTGAAAAAAAAAGTATAGACCCTTTTTTACATAAAATCCAATTTATAATTAGAATTAGAAGTGCTTTTTTCAATGAACAATGCCAGAATAAAAAAATAAACTTTGGTACATATTGGAAGACCCAAAGTTTATTCTATTCTAGTATTTTGTGGCAATTTTTGTTGTATTAATTGAAGAAGTGTGAACGTGTGTATGTTTATTCTCTTTGTAGCTATGCTAATGTCTGGTATTCAATGGTGGAGCAGTTTTATTACACCCTGATATTAAACCGATAATACATGATAAATAATTAATGTATGTTCTCAGTTTCACTGGACTGAATGGCTATTATTCCCCTCTTAGAAATTTGAAAAACGAGGCCTACTCTCTTGTATCTCCTTGTATCTCCTTGTATTTTTGTATCTCATTGTATCTCCTTGAATGCCCTTGAATGCCCTTGTGCTTCTGAAGGACTATATCACAAGCATTTTTTATTCAATCTCATCTGAGTACAGACAGACTCATCAGATATTAGGCAGTAAACGACACAAAATAAAAAATGGCCTGGTTTCGTTTTTGTAAATGAATGAACTGAGCTCTGTGTTATAAGATTTAAATGTGACATGTTTTACTCTATTTTCCCTCTTTCCCCCTTTTTTTTAGGGGGGGGGGGGGTCATGAAACTTTCTTTGGTATTGCACCTTTTGATTAGAAGTAAATGATCAATGTAGATATCTTCTGGTCCACAAGTAGCAGATACTTTGCCAGACTGGATCATATGGTTTTCATTTTGCATTTCAGCCACAGGCTTACATGTACATGTAGCTTGGCATTAATCTTCCTTTCCCCTCTCTCAACCCAGGTGTAGTCAATTGGTGCCAGGTGCAGTGTACATGTTATAATATAGGAAGTGATTCCTTGAATGTGAAGCATCTTAGGGCTTATATGCTTGAGCTTTGGAATGATTGAAATGTTACATGCAGTAATGAAAACTGTTGATCGTAATAAATTAATGGGCTTATCATCATTATTATTATTTTCTATCTATAGGTGAAGCTAAGAACTTGAGTTCCACAAGGGATTGCTATTGCACTGTTAAATTGGACCAAGAGGAAGTTTACAGGACAGCAGCCAGAGAAAAGACACAATGGTAAGTAATAATTTATTATTCTGAGGGAGGGAGGGAGGGGCGATGGGATGGAGAGGGATAAGGGGTGAGAGGATGAAGAGAAGGGGTTAAGGGGGTGCTTTAGAAGGATGGAGAGGGAGGGATGGGGGGAGGGGTAGAAGGTAACGAAAATCAAACTTGGAAAGAAGGGCATTTGTAATCTCTTCTGGTTTCAAATTGTTACAAAATACCTTTCTCTTCTCTATTCATACTTTAAACTGTTATGAGTCATATCTACATATTTTCCCCTTTTGTATGATGCCTCTTGAAAGCTTGTGAAAAGGGAAATCTTCATGCACTGCAGGGCTGTCGTTTAAAGCCGGTAACCGGTAAAACTTGCCGCCTATTCACTCGTTTCTTACCGGCTATAATTCCTATAATAAACCTTGCAAAAATCACAGAAAGTAGATCTAAATCAATGCTAATCCAAAATTTCCTTAATTTCGTCCAAGATATAATTAGTGCCGCACATACACGGCCGCAGTCGACGAAATCCCTTACGATCACGAACGCGACGTCGTCCGTACTTACCTAGACCTATCTATCTACATCGCAGTTCTCCCCCCACAGCGCGGCGGCCAAGCCCGCCCGTCCCTACCCCATTGCGATCCCGATGTGCACGCGAGAAGACGATGCATGCACTGCACAAAATATATACACACTGATCATAACAAAACTGAAGCTAGCTCGCTGTAACCAAACTATCCGTTGCCGATTTGATATTTGAAGATCACGGAAACCGGGGCCTATACACGTGCGTGCAATGTCTAGAGACAACGTACTTTAGATTCTGAGATGCGCAAATCGGCAACAGAGTTTTGAACTCGGCTGAATTTAGGCCGGCCACGGCCGTCCCCGGCGGATCCCCGCAGCTAGCTCGCATGATATATGCAGGCTCGCGCTCCGCGAATATTCAAAACTAACTTCCGATCGCAATCGGAAGCCAATCGGTTAATTCATTTATTTTATTTTCATTTATTTTCTTAAAAAATTTGAATAAACAAATATACAGTCATGAGTGTCTTCACTTTGTCAGGAAAAACAGTGATATAACATTATAAAATGAACAGGAACTGAAGTAAATTCTTAAATGTATTCAATAATTTCATGTCAAAAAAAAATAATTAAATGAGAATTCATATGGGGAGCCAAATAAAAGTCACAAGTAAAAAAAAAATCAAAATCTAGCCTCTGCTGCCCATTATTTAAATACTGTACATGTATTCAACAAATCATGATGTAGAAAGATTGAGTATGGTGCATCATCTCAGTTTAATTAAAAATTACAAAGTAATGGTACAAAGTGATAAATAATTATCAACTTAATAACTTTTCTTATGAGTTATGATTGTTCATGTAATATTAAACATGAACAATATGTTTATTACAATATATGTGTAATACAAGGTAGGAAAGATAACTACAAATTTTCTTCTTAGGTATGCACCAGATTGCACGATTTCAAGTGGAAAATCCCAAAAGGTCCCTATACCGTGGGAGGGGGGACACCCCCCTCCCACACCCTCCCCCCTCGGTCGCTTCGCTCCCTCGCAGTGATGGTACCTCCTATAAAATTCAAATTACCTCCTTCAAAGATAATTAACAAGACCCCTGCACTGTAAAGAGAGGTTAGCTCAAGGAGAAAAGAAAAGAAAATGAATTCTTATAGTAAAAATTCTTGGAATACAAATTCTTATATAGATATATTCTTTAATGTCAAAGTAAAGAATTCCTTCTGTAATACCTTACAAGAATTCAATAACATGTAGGTATTTGAATTCATGTAGCATATTGTATTTGGTGTACACCCTGTAGCTCTGGGAATCTAAAAACACAAAAAAGAGCTCTGATCATGTACAAAACGAATCAGCAAGAAAAAATATTAAAAGACAACTCCTGTGGATAAATAAGTATTTTTTACTCTGTTTTAGTTTTCTGACTTCTTTCCCTTTAAGGGAATGGTTATATAAGGGAATGGTATAGAAAAAAAAAATATTTGCAAATGAACTCAGTACAGTCCCATGTGCCTTCATCCATGTAGTGGTAGCTGACCAATTAAGTCAACAACTTTGCTGCAAATCTAATTGATCTGTATCGTTTCGTGCGTCAATACCTTGGTGGCGGTGGTCACCAATCGTGGAAGCTTGTTTGTAGTGCTTTGGCGTAGTCGCATCTCGAGAGAGCGTGAGGCGGCTCTCGGGGGCCCAGGTGTGCATCCGCATTAGTTGTAGCATGCAGTAAATTGGCAACTATTAGATTGAAGGAGATAAAGGCCGGTTCAGAGTCTCAGAAAAATATGCCACAGAAACAGCGATCCCTTGAAAGTTGGAAATACAAAGTCAGTACAAATACTTAAGGTGCACTAGTTCATATACCTGTCAAACGACAGTAATTTCTGTGATGTGAATTGGCAACAATTGGATTGAAGGAGATAAAGGCCGGTTCAGAGTCTCAGAAAAATATGCCACAGAAACAGTGATCCCTTGAAAGTTGGAAATACAAAGTTGGTACAAATATTTTAGATGGAATGATGAAAGAAATGAGCTCATTGCTTGTACAGTGTATTTTGTATTGTCAGAGAAAATTGGAAATTTTCTCCACTGTAATGCAGTTAAATTACAGACAAGGATATTAGGATCATGTGTCAGTGAATTTTACTTTTTGAAGCACTAATTGATATAGTCTGTCAAATGACACAAATCTTCCATTACAGGCTTGCACTAATTTCTGTGATGTATTCATTACGTTTTCTATTACAAGCCTTCAAACTTTCATTTTTTTCTTCAAATGTCCTTGCCCAACTAACTAACCACCTCATTTATCTTGTTACTATGACAGTCCATTCTGGGGGGAGGAGTACATATTTGACATTCCTATCAAATTCCGCATGCTCTCTTTCTACATCTACGAGAAGGATAAGCTGAAGCGGTCCGACTCGGCGATCGGCAAGGTGGCGCTACGTCGGGGAGAGCTCCATAAATGCCAAAGCAAGGACCAGTGGTATCCACTGACCCCCATAGACCAAGACACAGAAGTTCAGGTGAGTTTTAATAGTGGAACTGTGGAATCTTGTTCACACAGGATGTTCGAAATGCATGATGTAGTATTAAACTGCCTCCACCCCAGCCCCGCTCAGAAAACGCTGCAGTAAAATTATTCAAGCATTTAATGTACCTCACATTTTTTTTGTCTTTTATAACATGCAGAGTACATAATAGTATGCTTACACTCAAGGGCCTTTGTACATACAGTTGTAGTTACAAGCTATTCCTATTCTGGAAGAATGATTCAGTTTTTCTGCCTCCAAACCCTCTGTTAGCAATTAGCAATTTTGAAATATCAAATAATGATTTTTTTTTTGTCTTCAGACTTCTAGGGGCTCTTTAAGCAGAACTTCCCATAGCATTAACAAAATCAAAGATTAGGGGAGGACAGCTTGCAAATTGCAACTTTAAGAATATGTGCAGTGATGTTGATTGAGAGAGTGTGACCGACCCAGATTGAGTTGACCACAATATGGGCACTACTGCTTTGTTGGGCAAGCACATAACAAAAGAATGTATGCCATATTGTGATCAACTGAAACCAAGTTGGCTAAACTTTGTGTATAGATAGATGGCTCTGAATATGTGGATCATATTCCATTAATGAGGCGGAGGGGGGGGGGGGAGCTTGGGGGTTAAGGGAGTATTTGAGTGACAAACAATAAAGCTATTTACCTCCAAACACCCCTGACAAAAGAATGACAATTACAGGTCATTAACAAGAAACCAGGCAGCCAGAAAATTACAGATTCATTCATCACCAACTGTTTTAAAAGCTAATATGTATTCTGTTTATCGCCAGTGAACTGAAGTATTTGTTTTGATTATCTATTGTTGATTGTTTCCTTCCAATTAACCTACAATTTCCTTGTTTACTTTTCTATAATAATTATGATGTTAGTGTGTGAGTCACAAAAAAAAGGAAACTCAAATTCAACGCCAAATATAACCCCAAGTAAAATTGTAATCAATATGCAGTTAACAACTGTATTATTCATACCCTTACCAAGTTTTTGTCACTTTTTAAGTATGCAAAATACTGATTTGTCCTGATTTGTATTTTTTTTAAATGTGAATGTATATTAAAGATTTAATACAAAGGCCCTAATTCAACCAATCCACCTTTCATTCTTGAGTTATGAAACAAACATCCAATTTACAAGGGGCATGAATAATTTAGTTGTTAACTTTATCCATAGTTAGATTTCTTGTAAGATATTCACCTTGTAACCTATCATGTTTTTATATAATCTAACTTCTTGATCAAGAAAAACGTGACCATGGACTTCTGAAAAGCATGATTTTTCCCGCCATATTTGTATATTACAATGATTTATCAATCATTTTTGTCACATTTTTTGATAAAAGAAAATAAATGATTTGATTCCTAAATTTTCTCTTTAATACAGGGTAAGGTCCATGTTGAAATAAGGACAAGTGAATTACTGAATGGATCATCCTCTATCACAAAGCTTGCAGTCAGGTAAGCAAATTCTGTCATAAATCTCATCAATTATATATGCATGTATCAGACTCTACAGTAGGGGAAAACCCCGGTGTAGTGGTCCACCTGCACACCCCAATATACATCTGCAAGAATGTTCAGTATTGAAGGAGGCAGTTTACCCATAAGAAGAAGAAGAGGAAGAAAATTCTTTGACTTTTTGTACATTTTTCCATTGTTATCTATACAGTGTATGTTTGTATTTTTTAAAATCCAACCTTAATGTTTTGTTTGAAATAAAGAAAAAAGAAATAATATTGATGACTCTTTATCTTTCATATCATTTGATTTGAATTAAGCCAATCAAATAAGTTCCCAGTTTATCCCTCCTGCCTTCTCACTTTTTTTTCATCGGCTTGCCTCCATTTCATTGTTCTTTGATACTGAAGTTAAATAATTATAAAATATGAGGACATCTAGACAGATGGTAACAGAATCATTGCTCTTTAATATGTGGTTACACCTTGTTTTGAGCCTCTGTCATGCATGTACCATGAAAATTGATTATTGATTTGGTTGTGGGCCAACAAGGAAAATACATTTTTATCAAATCCAAGACCTTAGCTAACACTTTCCATGAACATTTTTTTTTTTTTTTTTTTTTTTTTTTTTTTTTGGTGGGGGGGGGGGGGCTGATTGTTATCTGGGCAGGGCTTGACACTAAACAGGCACCTGGGACACATGACGCCCGAAATTTAATTAAGGGCCCCAACATTCTGAGGTCTTTACATAATGCTTGTACATACAGACTGTAAAAAGTTCAATCCGCCCCCCCCCCTTCCAAATAAGTTAGTGTGGGTCCCTGATTAAGGTTCTACAATCTTTGCAGACGCACAGAAATTCTCAAAGAATGTAAGAAATTAATATGATAAAAAAGAATATAAAGAAAGAATGTTGCACAAACAGAAGGAAAAAAACATAAAAATAGATTTTGTTTACAGGTAGTGTATTTGAAAGTGAGGAAGAGAGAACAAAGAGGAAAAGGGTTATCAAAGAAATAAAGAGAAATGGAGATAAGAAAGCTGTCAGTTATAAAAGAAAGAGAGAGAGCATGTGTGTTCATTGTTAGTACGACATTCAGAAAGAAGCGGCCAGTATCTAGGTCTCATCTGCATCTTGTTTGGCTGGAGTCGTTAGGAAATGTTTAAGCGAGGCCAGACCGACTGAGAGCCAGAGGTAAAGAGGGAGATAGAGAGAGGTAGGGAGGGAGAGAGAGAGAGAGAGAGAGAGACATGGAGAGAGAGAGGGGGGGGAGAGATATATAGAGGGAGATAGAGAGAAAGAGAGGGAGGGGAGAGAGAGAGAGAGAGAGAGAGAGAAAGAGAGGGAGGGACAGAGAGAGAGAGAGAGAGAGAGAGAGGTGGACGGAGGGAGAAAGAGAGAGAAATGAAGATTGAAACCAAGTTTCTTAATGACACGGACATCTACGTCACAGTATTCACCCACTTTCACATACCCCCGTGCATCGTCGTAGGTAATTGCTGCGTTGAGGAGGAAATAGGGGAAAAAGGTCTTTTTCAACTACCACCACGTTGTATTTCTCCTGTTTGTTGTTGATCAAAGAAAAAGTGACGTCAAATGGAGCTCTTTTCAGCATCCCCAGAGCCTTGAACTGTTAGAGATGTGTGTCTCAGCTGAAATTCTTTTTTCCCTTTTTACCTTAAATTGGGGAAAAGATGTAGTTGGTGCAAAATGTCCATTTTCAGCCGTTCTTATTTTGGAAGCAGATGTGTGGCAATTAGCTTTACAAATCCCTTTCTATATATTACTGCATAATATAAATTCTTGTTTTCTCTATTTTTAGATGTAACCTTTTCTCATTGCTCATCTCTAGTCAATCCATCTATGTATATTTTGATCGCCTTCCTTTTTTCTGGTGGTTGATCTGTCTCTCTCTCTCCTTTCTTTCCTAACACCCTCCCTATCTTTCTTTCCCTCTCCCCATCTCTCTCTCTCTCCCTAGCCCCTCCCTCTTTCCTCTCCTTCCCTCCTCTCCTCGTCCCTCCCCTTTGTCTTTTCCCCCACTCTCTCCTCTCCCTCCCACCCTCTCCATGCTCTCTCTCCCCCATATCCTCTCTTCCTCCCTCCCCTCCTTCGTCTTCTTCCCCCACCCTATCCTCCCACCAGCTCCTCCCTCCCTCTCTGTGCTCTCTCTCCGTGCTCTCTCTCTCCATTTCTGACTACCACTCTCCCGTCTGCATTTCTGTATATTTTCCCTACTTGTGACCGCAATGCCGGTTTAAATATCCCCCCTCCCTTTTTTAATGCTCCTCTAATAGTTCTACAATGTAACTCTGTACATGCAGTCTGTTCCTTATACAGTATATATATGCTTGTTCTGATGCTATTGATCAAATCAAATCAAATATTTCGGTTTTTGACAAGGAAATTATGTTATCGTCTTAAAAACAACGATGATGTTATACGTGGTTCTTCAGAGGATTCTTTTACTGTTAATTTCTCGAGCAGGATGGTAGAATTCTAGATAATTAACCTCAGTGGAATTGGTTACTTCTCAGTATTGCCGGTGTGGGTTTCAGCTAATTGAATTGCACATTGTTACCAGTTTCTTGCGACCTCTCCTTGTAGCAAATTAGTGATTCTATCTTATATCTTCTTTGTCTTCTACAATTTTCATGACCAATTCATCCTCTTTCATGTCTTAACTTATTCTTCAAGGATGTCTTCTCCTTTCCGTCTCGCCTTTCCCACTTTTCTTGTTCCATTGTCTTCATCTTCCGGTCTGCAATTTTAATGACAGGTTTTGTTCTGTATTTTTTTCTTTTTTGTGTCTTATCTATCCTTTCCTTGATTTATCTCATTAGGCCTGCCTTCAGCAGCTCGAGTTTGCCAAATAACCAGCTATTTTCAGACTCTGGTATTATCCCGAAGCTCAAAATTGCGTTTTCACCAGACCGATACGGTCATCTCAAACTAGCCAATTAGCCCGCTATTTCCCAAATAGCAGAATATTTTAGAAACAAGACCAATATTTCTTGGGATATTTTATCAACCAACTATCCCGCTAATTGCAACTGCGGGCTGATGAGGACGTAAATTAACTGGCTAATTTGCGATCGGGATAGTAAAAATAGCGGGTTATTTGGCAAACTCTAGCTGATGAGGACAGGCCTATTCTTTCACCTCTATAGTGCTGTATTCTGTAAAGAAGGGTACTCCTCTTTCACATTTTCTTCCTTTCGTTTGTTCCTTCTTCCTCTTGTATTTCATTTTCTTCTTCCTCTTCAATGATTTTCATGACCTTGTGATACATTTCCTTTTCTCTTCTGTCTTTCATCCAGTTTCATTAATTCGTTTTTATCTTTCATCTCAGACTCGATTCTTTGAAGATTACTTCTCCTCTTTCGTCTCTTTTTCATTTCTTGTTTTCCATTTTCTTTATCCTGTACAAACTGTACATCATTATCTTCTTCCCCTTCTACAATTTTCATGATCTGGTTTATAATACATCTCTCTTCCTTTCCTCTCTTACTTTCCTCTCTTACCTGTACCTCTTCTTTTCTCAGTTCAGCCCATCCTTTCATCTATAACTTTGTTTTTCTAAAATTTGTATGACCTTGTAATTAAAATTGATCTTATTTTCTCTCTGCTTTTTTTCCTTCCTGTTTTTTTTCTTCAAAATTCTTCTGTTTCACCTTTCCTGCTTCTTTCCTCTTTTTTTTCCTCAATTTTTTTCCAAGCTAGTACTGCAATTGTTTATTTTCTTCTCTTACATTTCTTTAAAGTTACTCAGTATCATTGTTGAAGGTTGATGAAAAAACTGCGTAATTTGTGTATGTAATGACGATTTACATTCACCTTTAATGAATTAAATCGTAATATTGTAGTTGGGAAAATTAAGGCATCGATCAGATCAGTTTTTCCCAATTGTTATCATTAATAATGTTCCGTTTTCAATCGAACTTTTAGATTATCTTTAAATTGTACTCTAACATTGAAGTCACTACCTTAGCATCATTTTCTCTCATCTGAACAATGTTACCAATTCCTTTTAATAATGACCGGACATTGGGCTCCTATTCGTTGAAGATATATGCATGAAGTGTTAGAGCTTTGGATGTGATTGGGTTTCGTGTTAGGTTTAAGCCTAGGGTTAGGTATCTAATATCACATTGGGTTCATCATTGGAAGGTTGAAATTGTACTAGATAAGAGCTGCAAATTGACTGTTGAGGAATAGTCACCAGATTTTGTTCAATCACTCTCATTTCTTTCTCTTATTTCATCATCCTCATCACGAAAAATGTGAAAATTAACTAGTACATGTACCCTGACAGTAAAATGCATTGGAATATATTTCACACTTTTTTTTGCCCCTCGTACTGCTGCCTTGTTGTAAATGTCATTTTCGAATTTTAATCAGTTCATATATAGCTAATGTGTTCAGGTAGTGTACCTTTTGAAATGGACCAATCTAAACACATTTTCTTACCAGCTCCACAAGCTAACACATGAATATCCTTTTAAGCTCCACAAGTGAGCTCAAAACCACATGTATGCTTTGAAACAACGCAATCAAGCATGGCTCAGTAAATAACGGAAAGCCGTTTGAGTAAATTCTGTTGGACTCTGCCCTCTACCACTTTGCTCGGCTCGGCTCAGGTGGTGTTTGCTCAATCAGTTCCCCATTCTGGCCGGGAATTAAGTGATTAATGGAGCCGATCTCGTCTTGGAGGAAATGCTGGAGGGCTTGCTCAACAATTTGCCGGCAAATTAGTCACCCTGATTTCCGATGATCGGCCGATAATCGCATTTGGCCGTTTGCCGAGTTGATTGAATACCGAGATTGTCTTATCATCATCATTCACAAACAAGCCATGAGCATGTGTGAAGGACTGTTATGGTTTCCTCCACAACATTGATGTTTTACAGATAAAAGAAAATGGTGTGATGAGAGTATGTGTTTGATAATGATGTCATAATTGTCATTAACGAATGTTTATTGAATGAGGTCAGCTTGGTATTGGTCGGGATAGGGATGGAGAGATAAATGTATGATGAAAATAAAGATGTGTTGTGCAAGTAAATATTTAGATAGAAAGAGAAAGAGAAATTGATGGAGAGAGATCTATGAAACGATATAGGAGAGAAACAAAGCATGATGAATATGGAAGAAACATGTAATTGTATGTTAAAGCATGTCATGATTTGTAAGTTTCTATAAAATGATGTACAATTTTACAGAGATGAACAGTGCTTTGCATTTTGTTCCACTTACCTACACTTTTGTCCATTCCTATTTTTTTTTGTTTTTTGTTAGGGGGGGGGGGGGGGGGAGGAGGCCACTGTGTACAACTTAAGAATACATTATAACCAGAGCTTTACAAATGAAATGCTTCATTTTCCTCTTTTAATTGTTACAGGGATTAATTTCTCTCTTCTGTAATTGTATCGTTTCAGAGTCGTCGAGGGAAGCGGACTAACCATCGTCAATGGCCAATGTGATACCTACGCCGCGGTCTCATATCATTCTGCCTCCAGGTAATTGCAATACGTGCCTGTATGATTTGCGATACATGTACCTTTTTTCCCCTTTAGTATTTGTTCTAATTTTCTTCAGAATCTGAAGAGAAGCGTGACCCAATTTCGCTGTACTTTCTTAGAATACTAAATTTTATGTAAAAGCTAATAATTTCATGTGATTGTTTTTCACGCAGACCAAGAGCTACAGGTTTGTGTCTTGTTAAAAATTATACCCATTTGTACCCTATATGGCTTTACTTGAAATTTTCACTTTTTATATACTGGTATATGTGTTTTTAATTTCAAATTTCTTGAGGCTTGTATACAAATCATGGACATGAGGGTATTTCAGGAATTATATTTTCTCTTAATGGAGAAAACTTGAAAAAAATCACCCTTTAGAGGAGAGAGAGAGAGAGAGAGAGAGAGAGGGGGGTAGAGAGAGAGAAAGAGAGAAAGAGAGAGGGGTATAGAGGGAGAGTGTGTTCGAGAGCAGAATGGATGTACATGAATAGAAAACAGAAGATTGCAGGCTCTTTTAATACAGTTTTATTGGGAATTTTTCTAATTAAAAAAAACAAAAAACTTTTAATAATTGTATTACATAAAGGTAGGACATGAATTTGAAATTTCGTGAAAACTAAGTTCAGGAACTAAGTTTTCAGGAGGTTTTATGTGTTGTTGATATCATGTGAATGGTTTCATACCCGGATCAAAGACTGCTGATACTTTCGAGAGAACATTAGCATGTATACGAGGTGCTGTATTGCTCTTCATATCCAAGACAAATGACATTTTATTGTTTGCCAGTTGTGCATGCAAACTGATGTTTTTTGACGTGACATGCATTCACAATCTTTACATGCTCTTTTCCATGTGCATCAATTTTATTTGACATCCGTAGCCTTATTCATTTCAAGTCAAGCGACCTTTTGTGTTTGCCAATCGGACATGCAAACTGATGTTTTTTGACGTGACATGCATTCACAATCTTTACATGCTCTTTTCCATGTGCATCAATTTTATTTGACATCCGTAGCCTTATTCATTTCAAGTCAAACGACCTTTTGTGTTTGCCAATCGGACATGCAAATTGATGTTTTTTTTGACGTGACAAGCATTCACAATCTTTACATGCTCTTGTCCATGTGCATCAGTTTTATTTGACATCCGTAGCCTTATTCATTTCAAGTCAAGCGACCTTTTGTGTTTGCCAATCGGACATGGAAATTGATGTTTTTTTTGACGTGACAAGCATTCACAATTTTTACGTGGTCTTGTTCATGTGCATCAATTTTATTTGACATCCGTAGCCTTATTCATTTCAAGTCAAGCGACCTTTTGTGTTTGCCAATCGGACATGCAAATTGATGTTTTTTTTGACGTGACAAGCATTCACAATCTTTACGTGGTCTTGTCCATGTGCATCAATTTTATTTGACATCCGTAGCCTTATTCATTTCAAGTCAAGCGACCTTTTGTGTTTGCCAATCGGACATGCAAATTGATGTTTTTTTTTGACGTGACAAGCATTCACAATCTTTACGTGCTCTTGTCCATGTGCATCAATTTTATTTGACATCCGTAGCCATATTCATTTCAAGTCAAGCGACCTTTTGTGTTTGCCAATCGGACATGCAAATTGATGTTTTTTTTGACGTGAAAAGCATTCACAATCTTTACGTGGTCTTGTCCATGTGCATCAATTTTATTTGACATCCATAGCCTTATTCATTTCAAGTCCCACAACCTTTTTGTGTTTGCCAATTGAGCATGCAAATTGATGTTTTTTCGACGTGACATGCATTCACAATCTTTACATGCTCTTTTCCACGTGCATCAATTTTATTTGACACACAATCCGTAGCCTTATTCATTTCAAGTCAAACGACCTTTTGTGTTTGCCAATTGAGCATGCAAATTGGAGTTTTTTGCGGCGTGACGAGCATTCACAATCTTTTCGTGCTCTTTTCCATGTGCATCAATTTTATTTGACATCCGTAGTCTTATCCATTTCAAGTCAAACGACCTTTTGTGTTTGCCAATCGGCCATGCAAATTGGTGTTTTTTACGGCGTGACATGTGTTCAGAATTCTGACCCATTTCATTTTTGGTAAACAACTCTTGCTGCGTGTCAAAAAACCTTGAATCTTTGGCCATTTGGCTTTGCAAATTGTCATTTTTCTTGTCAAGATGGAATAATAGACACATACATGTATCTTCAACAATGCAATTTTGCTGCATTCATTCAAACAAATTTGAATTTTGGGCCATTTGGCTTTGCAAATTGTCGTTTTTCTTGGCAAGATGGAATAATTGACATATATGTATGATCTTCAGTAATGGGTATTTATTAGGGCTATTTATCATCCAAACATCTTTGGCCTTGTTCATTTCAAGTCAAACGACCTTTTAGTTTTCCCAGTCATCCTTGCAAATTGTTGTATTTCTTGGAATGATAATGGTCATTTGAGCATGTACCTTGTACCTTTAATGTGTTGATCTCTTCCGAATGGTCCGCTGGGAACTATGACTGGAAGTATAACTGGGGGCTCGACGAGAGTGTTCATGCATATACAGTCCCTGCACGTTTGTCTCAACCATGTTTTTTTGCCAAACATCATCAGTTCACTTGTTCTAGGTCAAACGACCTCTTATTTTTGCCACTCTTGCTCGCAAATTGTCGTTTTCTCACTACGACAGCAGTTTGCGCAGTTATGCAGAAGTCATGCATGTTATTTGTTTCCCTGGTAACTTTTGCTAGACATCTTTAGCCTCATTTTTTCCCAAGTGAAATGGCCCTTTTTGCTGATCATTCCAGCAAATAACATTTAAGATCCATTTTATGGTGATTCCCAAATGTATTAAGCACCGTTGACACTTGATATGCTTAACCACTTACAAAAACAACAACACTGTGGCATTATAACATTTTACGTGTGAATGGGAGATGGAGTTGGAAATAATTAGACTCACACAACAAGTTCCAATCCGACCCATTCCAATTTAAAATGTATTTGATATAGTGCCTTTTCCGTGTAGCAAAAAAGCACTGCACACACTGCTCCAGAATAACATACAGTTCACGACTAAATTATTCATACCTTAAAGATAAAGACCAGTTATGGTCATGTGATTACATTGTGAAAGAAACGTTCTGGAATCGATCAGAAAAGGTTGATCATCTAGCATATAAGTATTGGTGTGTACTGCAAGGTTCTGGAATCATCAAAATGATAAGAAATTTGGCCCAGTCTTCGTAAAGTTACAAGCACTGTACACAGAAAGATGTATATGGGGCTACGCACACGTGCGCGACACATGCGTTTATCTCTCACACACCAATACATAAACTAATTTACCAAATATATCAATTAATATGCGGTTTCCCAGCAAAATTGTTATCATGTATTAGTCAAAACATACTCTTTCACATGATTGGTAATAAGAGCTTCCGTTTCATTTTTTGAAATTGGGGCGTTTCCAATACTGGTCTTTACCTTTAACCAAGTATGTAAACGATTGAATTGATAATGTGACATATTAAAGCTTACATCTACAAGTATTCAACCGATCGCCCTAATTCAACCAGTCCACGTTTCAGTCTTGATGCACGAAAAAGACCCCAAAACATCAAATTTGCAAGTGGTATGAATTATTCAGTTGTTAACTATATCTCTTTTAAAAAAGACAAGGGCCGTTGTCATTTTGGTACATTGATTAAGTAAGGATTTATTCAGCATTTTGCTTGGCTATTAAGTAGTATGTCTTAAAGGTAAAGACTGGTAGTGATAAAATTGCTGTGTAAGGGTTTTGAGTGCAAAATATTCATTCAATATTGTTTACATATTGCCTTTAGAGGTTCAGATGGCAATATTTCAACCTAAATTCGCAAAAAAGCAGAAATATATGCCCAAATGTTCAATGTTGAAGTGCAATTGCGATATCTATCCAGGCCGGATCGATATGATAATTTACCAAATATATCAATTAGTAGGCAGTTTCCTGACAAAATTTGTATCATCACATATTTTTCACATTATTGGTGATAAGAGCTTCCATTTCATTTTTTGGAGAGGGGGGCGATTCCAAAACTGGTCTATACCTTTAACTCTTGTTCAGATCACATCTTGAGCATTTAAGCCGATTTAACCATTGTGACATCACATGGTCAATCCAAATTAATGTGCAGATAACATGACACATTAAATGTGCACTGATATAATTATGAGCAGCTTATAATAACCATATGCCTGCCAATCAAAGCCCTCAAAATTATTAGCTTACGTCAGCTAGGGAGCTGTCTGAAACTTTTGGTAAAATACTTAGCCAAAAACTTCAATTTTAATACCAAATTTGGCTGAGTATTTTACCTACCGTATTTGCCGGCGTAAAGGCCGCAGTATTTTTGGAAGAGAAAATATCAAAAAGTCGGGTGCTGCCTTTACGGCGAAAGAGTTAAAAAAAAAAGTCAAAACCAGCACGAATTTGCACATATGGGACTACGAACGGTACAATTACTATACTACTATGGTACCGGACATTTCCACACATCTTACCGATAATTTTATCTTGCATTGTTGACATAAAGACGAAAATAAACTTCCAAAAACAACATCTTCCGATAGATCTTGGTTTAAGTTCTTGCATTGCAAAAGTAAAAGAAGGGCCTGTTTACCGGAGCTGCCGCGAAGTATCCAGCCCGCGAAGTCGCCATTTTCAATCCATTTCAATGTATAGATCAAAGAGAACTGCAGGTTATGGCATCAGTGCGGGATGGCCGAGCGGTCTAAGGCGGTGATTTTAGTCACATCAACATTTGTACGCAAGAGGTCAAATCCCGTCTTTGACCAAAGTTTTTTTTTTTTTTTTTTTTTTTTAATGTCAAAATCGGGGGTGCGTCCTATACGGCGCTGCTGCCTTATCGCCGGCAAATACGGTAAGCTGAAAACTGATTAAAATACTCATATTTCTGAGATGAGTTACGATTAAAATACGAGCCTTAGTAGGTCAATACA